ACCAGTGCCATGCACCGGGCCTCTAGTCTGCATATAATGAGGATGGAGTCATTATCAAAGAATTGGAAAGAAAATAATGAAATAGATTAGAGGAGATGAGTAAAATATCAACCAGTGAAAAGAGAAAAATTAGTTGGATGGCTGGCTGGACAGATGACTTCATGAATGGATGGATGAATGAATGTGTGAATAGATGGATGGATAGATAGAAAATAGATAGATAGATAGATAGATAGATAGATAGATAGATAGATAGAAGATACACACATACAAACAAAATCTAGAAAAGTGCCTTAAATATGGTATATTTCCAGTTTGTTCCCTAATCTTCCTAATCTTTTTTTTATTTCGTAAAATATTAGTCATCTAAAGATATTAAAGTAGTGCCAAAATCTTGACAGTCCACTCTATCAATGCAATAGAAACCATTAGATAGTAGAAAAGTAAGCTCAAGTTTTTCTTGGTATATCATTTTACTTTTGAATATATTATTCCTCACTTAGACATACCCTATCATCTTAACACAAATCTTAGAAGCACATTTTTATTAAAATGTTAATTTTTAATAAACTAAAGTCAATATAGCACCATCTAACTTAGCCAGCATAGAATGAACTTTCTTGAGACTTACATATCAAATAATCCCCAGTAAGTTTAAATATAATAATCCTGCTTTGTCACATAGATATTGGAACTTTCTGTTTACACACAAACTCCTCTATGATTTTTATTTTGCTGTTGAATGAAAGAATATGGGTCAAAATTATTTTAAACTCACAACTCTAACTTGTAAGCTACTAATAAAATATCACTTCTGGCTAAATTGTTAAACATAGAGAAGAGATTTATACCTTTATACCAAAAGGTTCAATTCCCAGTTAAGGGCAAGTACCTGGGTTGCAGGTTCAGTTCTCAGCCTGGTTGGAGTGCATGTAGGAGGCAACCAATCTAGGTGCCTCTCTTCTCTCTCTCTCTCTCTCTCTCTCTCTCTCTCTCTCTCTCTCCCTCTCTCTCCCTCTCCCTTTCTCTCCTCCCCGCCTCCCTTCCCTTCCCTCTCTCCCACTCTAAAAATCAATGGAAAAAATATCCTCAAGTGAGAATTAACAAAAAATAAATAAATAAATAAGTTTAAAAAGCTAAAAAACATGATGAGAGATGAGTAAATTCACACACTCTGGTTCTAACACTTTTCATGGAATATAACCTTCAAAAAAAGTTTATCAGACAGGCTTTTACATCCCCATTAAATTCAATGAATGAATTGTGAAGGGTAAATTGAACCCATTGTAATCTTATATTTCTTATGTAATATGCATAGTCATAGCATTACTTGAGAGCAAGCTCCTGTTAACAAAAGGAGCAATTTAAATCCTCTCTTCCTTGGAGAATGGGTGCTTGACAAACAGAGCTTCCTGTCTCCTTCGCAGCACGCCCATGCATCTCCTCAAGTGCCAATGAGACCCACACTCTCATACCAATGATATAATAAATCCTCCAAAACAGAGGGAGAAAATGAGGCAAACAAGCCCACTTCATTTCAATTTGTCAGCTTTAAATAAAATCTTCTGCAGCTGAAAATGAGAATCTTGAGGGAAGATAATGTGAGAAGTAATGAAATTCAACATGGGAATGAAACATATTGCATTTTTTTTCTGATCTGCCACAAAAGTTTTTGAAATTTCACCATAGATAATTTAGAATGAAATACCTTCTTGTCAAGGAGGACTTAGAGGAAGAATTAGCTTATTTTGTTTGTTTATTTTTTTCTCTTCTACCACCTACTGAGGACTTAGGAAATATTTCAAGTTTTCTTGAGCCCCTATGATATCTTAATGAGTTATCTATGACCTTTGGAACAACTCTCACTACCAATTTTTAAGTCAGAGTTGATATAAAAGAGTATACTGAAAAAAAATGCTTTTTGCTCTTATGTTAATTAATTACCTTCATAACACGTCCCCGGGCACTGATTTTATATGCAAAATATTGGAGCATGCTCTCTGCCTGCAAAAATAAAGTAGGAAGGACAAAAGAGCAATTCGGAGAATGGTAAAAATCTATTGACATTCTGATAAATAAAAATAGCTGGATATCAATTAAGTAAACAATGATTGTTTAATGTAAGTCTTTTCCTTCACCCTTTCCCCAGTGCCCACTCCCCCAGCCCAGCTTATTTTCACAGGCCAACAATGCATTCAGAAGGCTTCATTCTGTTCTTCCACTCAACACTTTCTGTATTCCCTCTTTGGTGTTATTTTTTTTTTCATTGTTGAATTTCCCCTTGATTTTCTTTATCTTTCTTGAAAGAACACTTGTACCTCTTCAAAGAAAGGCCGGCACCACTGGGTCCCAGCAGATACATAGCACAAGTTGTACAAATTCCAGTGGGAGAGAGGACAGGAAAAGCCAGTGTCTTTTTTCCCCAAATGTCCCAAGGTGTGAACAAATTTGATACTAACATCATTTCAGTGTCTTTTAAAGGGTGTCCCAAAATTCACGCAAGAAGTAATTTTGATAGAAAACATGTGTTTCTAATTAAAAATTGTAATTTTTTATTGATTCATAAAGGATACAGTATAGGGTTACTTATGGAATAGCATATCGGGTAAATAGCCTCCACGGCTTTGCTGGCACATATGCACTCTTTTGTTGAAATTTTCCATGACCGTTTTGCGTAAATGTGGCTGAATTTCGATGAGGCTCATTTTCATTTTGATGGCTTGGTTAATCTACAAAATTGTCACATTTGGGGTTCAGAAAATCTATGACTGATTGTTTAGAAACAAATGCATCCACAACGTGTCACTGTTTGGTGCGGATTTGGGGCTGGAGGCATCATTGGACCATTCTTCGAAAATGCGGCTGCTCAGGCAGTAACAAGAGTGCGTATGTGCCAGCAAAGCCGTGGAGGCCATTTACCCGATATGCTATTCCATACATAATACTATACTGTATACTTTATGAATCAATAAAAAATTTACAATTTTTAACTATAAACCTGTGTTTTCTATCAAAATTACTTCTTGCCTGAATTTTGGGACACCCTTTATTTCCAATGTTGTGTCTTATGTATTTTTCTTATCAGCTAAGAATACTTTTACTTAAGCTATTATACTCAGACCATTACACCATGAACTCTCTGATTTTAACTCTTTTATTTTAAAACTAGGGTCCCAGTGCACGAATCTGTGCACCTTGAAAGGAACTATGGATCATGAGGCTGCGGTGGGCACAGGGGCGGGTCTTGGCCATCCTCCATGCCCCCACCCGGCCCCTCCCACCATGGGCCCCCTGGTCCCCTGTCTGCCGACAGCCCTGCTCCCATCGCCACCATCACTCCCACTCACTAACAGTGTGGAGTGATTGGGGCCAGCCCTGTCAGCGGGTATGAGCGAAGGCTGCTGTCCTGTTCGCTCCTCAGGAGCAGGGGGAGGTAGAGAAGCCCTGAGTGGTGATTGGGGCTGGCAGCCACCTCTCGCACCCACTACCAGCACCAGAGCTGCCACTTGCACCTGCTGCTGGCGCCCGGTGCTGGTCCCAATCGCTTGGCGCCATCGGTGGGTGTGAGTGGCAGCTCCAGTGCCGGCAGCTGGTGCAAGCGGGGCCGGCGCCAGCAGGAGATGCGAGTGCTGGGCGGGACCGTGGTGCGTGGGAGCAAAGAATTTTCAGTAACCAACAGAGGCTCACCCTGATGATAGCAACTGGTGCCCCACCTTGGTCTGGTGCCCCCGCTCACCTGCTCCACCATCCCACCGCAGCCAATGCCTGCATGTTCTGCAAGTGCCCCCTGGGTGTCAGTGCACATCATAGCGATCAGTTGTTCGATTGTTTGGTTGTTCTGCTCTTTGGTCTATTTGCATATTAGGGATTTTTATATATAGATTCATAGATTTTGAGTGATCAGTGCACAGAATGACAGCAACGCTGAGGCGTATGTTCCTTGACACCATTGATGACACATTGTTAAGATGTTCTTTCAATCACTCTAATGTAAAACATAATTTCCTATGCGTATTTTAAATGTATTAGAGAAACAGGATGGGGTAGGAAAGACTATACAAACTATGAAATACAAGGACTCACTTTGAGGCGCTGACAAATCACTATATATTTTTTATTTTTGTTAATCCTCATCCGAGGATATTTTTTTCATTAACTTTTAGAGAGAGTGGAAGGGAAGGGGAGAGACAAAGAGAAAGAAACATCAATGAGAAAGAGACATGTAAATTAGTTGCCTCCCGTACCCAACCAGGCCAGGGATCCAGCCTGCAGCCAAGGTACATGCCCTTGACAGGAATTGAACCCAGGACCCTTTATTGAGCAGGCTGACCTGATGCTCTATCCACAAAGCCAAACCGGCTACGGCAGCAAGCTTTTGTATTTGTTTTTTTAACCCCTATAATTCACTTGTAAAATGTAAAAAAAGAGAAAGAAAGAAAGAAGGAAAGAAAGGAAGGAAGGAAGGAAGGAAGGAAGGAAGGAAGGAAGGAAGGAAGGAAGGAAGGAAGGAGGGAGGGAGGGAGGAAAAAAGAGAGAGAGGATCATGTCATAGGATGGTTAAGTTAATAATAAGCATGTTTTAGAAATATTTTATTCTTATTTTACGATCATTATAATAATTACTATTAAGAAAAAATGTATTTAAAGTGAACTTGACTTAGCTATAAAATGTTCAGTAAATAGTGTGAATGGTGATATGCAGCTTCCAGGCATACATTATATTTTGCAACCAGTGAAATTCTGCCAAACCATTAAGTTATTCTCTACAGTTCAAGGCAAGTGGGGTTTGTGCCTTTCAGCACTTTTAGCCCCAAGGTTCCCATTGTGCTTTGCATTTTTAATTCTAACAGACCGCTACCTCAAAATCATGTAGGTGTGATGCAGGACCACGATGTGGCCTGAAATAGCCATTTAACGACAGCTTTTCAAAAGGAAAGCCAACGGAGCCCTTTGCTGAGGAGATGCCTGTTCTAAGCCAGGGGTTGTCTGTTTCCCCACAGTGATGGCTGGGCTGACAGGTATGATGTGACTGACGGATACCAGCGAGAAGCTGTCGGTGGAATCACAATCAAGCTCCAATCTCCTGATGTCAAGTGGTTTGATGATTATTATCTGCAGCTACGGCCAGAAACAAACCTCCGAAACCCTTGGTTTCAAGAGTTTTGGCAGCACCGTTTTCAGTGCCGGCTGGAAGGGTTTGCACAGGAGAACAGCAAATACAACAAGACCTGCAACAGTAAGCAGATTTATTGTTTCATCCTACCACCGGTCTCGACAATTTTGTCTCACCTCTTCATATAATTAATTTGGAGTTTTCCATAGAAATCACTAAATGAACCCTTAATTAATACAAACTACTTTCTGTTGGTTCATGTTTTCATTCAGCAATCTTACATATATCTGTTAGTTTACCCCCACTCACACTTCTTTTGCTATTGCTATATAATTCACATGTTTTATATATAGTACTACAGAGCTTTGTTAGGATATTTGCTAGAAATAGTCAACAGTGTCCTTCATTATGTTCAGTATCTTCAATACTGAAGAATTCCCTTTAGTATTTTTTATAAAGTGTTGGCAAGAAATTCCATCAGTGTGGTTTTTTTTTTCCTGAGAGTATCTTTATTGCACATTTAGTTTTGAGGGATCTACTTACTGAGTATAGCATTCTATATTGGCAGGTTTTCTTTTCTTTTCATTTATAATTGTTGACACTACAAGAGATGTCCCCATTTTTCCCCCCTTTGCCCACCTCCACCCAGCCCCAGCCCCACCCCCACTTCCCGCTGGCCATCACCACACTGTTGTCAGTGTCTGTGGGTTATGCATTTATGTTTTTTGGCTAATCCCTTCACCTGCTTTTATCCAATTCCCCTCTCCTCCTCTGCTCTGACAGCTGTCAGTCTGTTATATGGATCCATGCCTCTGGTTCTATTTTGTATATCAGTTTATTTTGTTCATTAGATTCCACATATAAGTGAGATCTTATGGTATTTGTCTGTCTCTGACTGGCTTATTTCACTTAGCATAATAATCTCCAGGTCCATCCATGCTGTTTCAAAAGGTAAGATAAAAAAATAAATAAATAATGTGATTTAAATAATAATAATAATAATAATAATAATAATAATAAAGAAGACAGGTTTCCTTTTATTTAATTTTATTTTTTGCATCGTTTTTTTCCCTTTAAAAAACAGCATTCTGTTTCCTGGATTCCATGATTTTATTGAGAAGTTAGCCACGACTCTTAATATTTCCCTGGTAGTAATATGTCTTTTTTCTTAGCTTTTAATGTTAACCTTTACTTAACTATGAGGAGAGTAAGAATGGATTCCCTTAAATATTTCTTTCTTAGGGTTACCAAACGTTTCTAAACTTGTAGATTTCAGATTCTTACCAGTTTTGAAAAATCCCAGAAATTATTTCCTAAAACATTCATTCTATCATATTTCTGTTTGCTCCTTCTGGTACCCAGTTATACCAATGTGAGACTATTTGACCGTGTCACACATGTGACTTTTTATCTGTACCTTCATATCTTTTCTCTGTGTCCTGTTTCATTCTTTTCTGTTATTCTCTTTTTGATTTCACTAATCATGTCTTCTCCTATGTCCAGTCTGCTGTTAACCAAAATAAGAGGTACTTCATTTCTGATACGGTGTTTAACGAACCCAGAATGCCAATTTAATTCTTGTTAATAGTTTCCAGTTTTATGTTAAAGTTTTCCTTCTCACCTTTTTTTTTCAGTCCTTTACTTTGTTTCCTTAAACATATTGATCATAGTTATTTTATGGTCCTTCTGGATCTTTGGTAATCTATTTCTGTTGACCGATTTCTCTTAGTTGTTGGTCCCATTCTATGTTTCCTGACACGTGCACAGTATATTTTCTTTTATGCTAGACAATGAGTTGAAAATCACCATAAAGATTAAATTTTACGTTATTTTTCCCCCAGCGATAGCTTGCCTTTTCCAGATTCAAAGAAATTGAGATGGTGTAGGTTGTAGCATAAAATAGCAGCAATCAACTGCTCGTTAAAATGTCTTTAAGGAACAATTAGCACGGAATTTTAATTGAGAGTCTAGCTATTATATTCCCTGCTCTGGATGACTGACTCACAGATTCTCACTATTTTTGAGCTTTGCTCTCCAGCCTCCTGCACCATAATGTTTCTAAGTTTGGCATATTTCATGGGGGGGGGAAACTAACTGAAGTTTGAGCAGTTTCCATTCTTCAAGTGGAGCTTTTTCCCCCCAAATAATACAAAACAATGGGAGACTTTAGTCTTTCACTTCAGAATCTTGAGCCTCTCATGGCACCTGCAGAATCAGCAACTGGATCAGGAGGGGAAATGGCTGTCATGCACTTAGGGCTCCTGGGGCTTATAAACTGACATACCAGATCATTTCAAATTCCAAAACTTTTTCTGGTTTCTCTTTTTCCAGCAGTGCCCTATGCCAGGTGGAATTATGCACCCCCCCCCCATCCCAGCAGCAATTCATGTCCTTTCCCGGAACCTCAGAAGGCGACTATTTAGAAATAGCATCAGTGCAGATGTAATTAGGCAAGAGGAGGACATATTGGAATAAGATGAACTCTTAATCCAATGTGCCTGATGTCTTTGTAAAAAGAGAAACAGAGACGCACAGGGAAAATGCCATGGGGAGGCACCGGCAGAAGCTGGAATGATGCTGCAGAAAGACAAGGGCTGCCAAGGACTTAGAGCTGCCGCCAGAAGCTAGAAAGAGGCAGGGAAGGGCTCTACCCACGGTCTCTGAGAAAGCGTGGCCCTGCTGGCCCCTTGATTTTGGATCTCTAAAATCCAGAACTGTGAGAGAATAAATTTGTTTATTTATTTATTTTAATAGATTTGTATTGATTTCAGAGAGGAAGGGAGAGGGAGAGAGGAACATTAATGCTGAGAGAAAATCATTGCTTGGCTGCATCCTGCATGCCCCACACAGGGGATCAAGCCCACAACCTGGGTATGTGCCCTGACCAGGAATCAAACCAGGACCTCCTGATTCATAGATCAATGTTCAACCACTGAGCTACACCATCGGGGCTAAATTTGTTTGTTTGTTTGTTTTTGTTTTTTTAAAAAATATATTTTATTGATTTTTTACAGAGAGGAAGGGAGAGAGATAGAAAGTTAGAAACATCGATGAGAGAGAAACATTGATCAGCTGCCTCCTGCACATCTCCCACTGGGGATGTGCCCGCAACCCAGGTACATGCCCTTGACCGGAATCGAACCTGGGACCCTTCAGTCCGCAGGCCGACGCTCCATCCACTGAGCCACACCAGTGGGGCTAAATTTGTTGTTTTAAGCCATGTAGTTTGTGGTACTTTGTTAGGCAGCCCTAGGAAATACGTCTCTTTATTTAGACCAAGCTTGATCATCACCTGGGTCCAGAACCTGCAGATCCCTCAGATAATAAAGCAGCCGGTGCCACCTGCCCACTTCTGTAGGTCTATTCTCTGCTAGTTCATTTTCTTTGTTGCTTCCATACATTGTCACTGCCTTTACTTTTTTTTTATTTTTGCATTACTTTGGCCTGTTAAAGCAATGCAATGAAATAATTTTTATTTGCTTTCTTTTCCATTTTGCTTAACACCAAAAGTTCCTCCTTTACTCTTTATTCTTTTAAAAAATATATACATTTCTATTGATTTCAGAGAGTAAGGGAAGAAAGAGAGACAGAAACATTAACGATAAGAGAGAATCATTGATGGGCTACCTCCTGCACGCACTCTATTGGAGATCAAGCCTGCAATCCAGGCACATGCCCTGACCAGGAATAGATCTGTGACCTCCTGGTTCATAGGTCAATGCTCAATCACTGAGCCACCAGGGCCAGGCTACTCTTTATTCTTAATTGTTACTCCCCTGCAATCCCAATCTTGATGTATAAATAAAGCCTACCATTTATAATGTCTAAAATGTTTATACTTTTGTTATTTTTGTGTTTTTTAAGCATTTAGAAACTTATTACTATAGCCCTTTTATGTTTCAACTATGCTGTATTGTTAACTCCAGGTTTTCATATCATTAACAGTGAGCCTGATTTCAGTAAGTCTTATTTAAATTGCACAATTATATTAGACTTAAATTGTAAGTTAAATTAATAATAAATGAAAAGCATTAAGACTATAATTTAATTTTTCTAATTATTTATTTAAATTACCTAGTAATAAAAGCTACAGAGGATTTAATTAATACTGTTTTCTAATAACTGCATGATAGTCTATTTTTGAATCAATTTAAGGACCCATTTCCTTTAGAGCAGCGGTTCTCAACCTGTGGGTCGCGACTCCTTTGGCGGTCGAACAACCCTTTCACAGGGGTCGCCTAAGACCATCCTGCATATCAGATATTTACATTAGGATTCATAACAGTAGCAACATTACAGTTATGAAGTAGCAACGAAAATAATTTTATGGTTGGATCACAACATGAGGAACTGTATTTAAAAGGCCAGAAGGTTGAGAACCATTGCTTTAGAGTTATACTCTGTCACCCACTGACATTCAGTCGCTTTCTCCTTTCTATAAATTCTCCTCACTTCCACTAACTTCCAGAGGTGTCATTTATGACATTAGCACACAAACATCCTCACCTGGATATCCTGAAGGCACCTCAAACTTTTTTAAAAAATATATTTTATTGATTTTTTACGGAGAGAAAGGGAGAGGAATAGAGAGTTAGAAACATCGAAGAGAGAGAAACATCAATCAGCTGCCTCTTGCAAGCCCCCTACTGGAGATGTGCCCGCAACCAAGGTACATGCCCTTGACCGGAATCGCACCTGGGACCCTTGAGTCTGCAGGCCGACGCTCTATCCGCTGAGCCAAACCAGCCTGAAGGCACCTCAAACTTTTGTATGTAAAACTAACCTCATCATGACTTCTGTAACCACAGCCTCCAACTTCACTCTCCTCCTTCTTGAATCTCCAGTTTAAGTAAAAGAGTCACTCATCCACCCTGTCTCTACCCTGTCTCCTGAGATGTAGGAGTAAGTGATTCTCATATATCCCCCTTCTCTCATCCTTTCATTAAACTGGGCACCAAATGCTGTGAATTCCACTGTTGGAAAAACGTCCACATCCGTTTCCTCTTTCTTATGGCCTGAATTCAAGAATTTATACTACTGCTGGCATTTGGTTCTTCATTATCTCTCCCGCCCGGTATCAGAGCAATCTCCCTATTGATTTTTCCTTTTGATATCAGCTTCTT